AAAGGTTTCTCAACATTATATGCTCTAAAAGATTTCCATGCACAGCTGGTAGTTTTTGCTCCCTAGACTGAGGCACTTAAGGGGACCCGTTTTGCTGTGGGCAGATGCTCAGGACTTTCTGAACATCAGGCCCTAATTATAAGGGGGTCTCCGGTTGGGCACCTGAAAGTGGAGGCAACCTAAACTGATAAGTGCAGTGATAAGTGGTTAGCTTCCTGGTTATCTTTTAATTTGGGGCAGGCGCAGTCTGGCAGGGAAGGGGGGGCAGGGAAGGTACACGATGCCCCAGCAGGAATCAGAAGTCCCCCAGCACCTGCTGTGTTATGGGCTTAATCGTTTAACCCATATAACTAAACAATATTTACATCCCTACTTCTAAAGCCTCTGCACAGCAGCAGGGTAGGGACTGAACAAGGGTGGTTGAGACTCTGCCTTCAGAGTTCTGAGAGCTGTTTGAGGGGTGCAAGAGAAAACGGCACTGTGGGAAATTTTAGGAACCAAATGTGTATAGCGTCATTAAACCTCAGCATAAGGCAGTGAAAGCAGGTAGCAAATGTACAGGAGCATCTGAGTAAGCATCTTTGTATCTCAACAGGGGATAAACATATCTGGAGGGCAGAAACAGAGGGTGGGGCTCGCTCGAGCAGTGTACCGGAAGGCAGCTGTTTACCTACTGGATGACCCTCTTTCAGCTGTGGATGCCCAAGTTGGACAGCATATTTTTGAGCAGGTCATTGGACCTAATGGCTTACTGAAGGAGAAGGTATGTAGATAAGTTGCTGTCTGCAGATTGGCAGCCTACTGTCAGAAAAACTGATAATCAGAGTATGCAAAAATTGGCTTGAGCCATCCACACTCCTTCAGTGCCTGCATGGGGTAGAAATTTTCACAGGGGGCCATGTATTATAATTTCTTTCATAAACTGATCAAGCTTCATCTTCAAACAAGCTAGGTTTATTCCCCCAACACACACGCTCCTATTTGGTAGCTGTTCTAGGACCTTACTCTTCCTTTTAATTTTCAGCCTTTTTGCTTTTGACCAACACTGTCCTTTAGCTCAGGGTTGTCAAACATACAACCTACTGGCTGGATCTGGCCTGCAGATCTATTCCATCTAAACTGTCCATAGTCTGGCAGGCCACTGGAGCATGGTCTGCTGCAGAATTCAGGGTCTTTTTACCCTGATAAACATTGCCAATGGTGGCAGGGGGGTGAGCAAGGTCCGTGCAGATACAGGCCTTCCTTGCTTTCATTGCTGCTACCCACCCCTGGATCAGTGCTCTGCTCGCTCCCCTACTTGCACTACCACATGCCCCTGGATCCATGCACCATTGCTCGCTGTGCCACATATCCCTACCCGCAATGCCTGCCCCTGGATCTGTGCTGCTTCCCAATCCCACACCCACATCACCACCCACACCCAAATCTGTGCCATTATCCACTCTTGGACCCACCCTGCTGCCCATTCACCCCCCCCAATACTGCTGCCCACTCCCAGACCCACACTGCTGCCCACTCCCTCGCCTGCACTGTCACATACCTCTGGACCTGCACTCCTGGCCCTGGACCTAGACTCACCACAGCTGCTGCTGGCTCCATGGATCTGGCCCAGGAAAAGCCTGTCAGTCCAGGTCCAGCCTGGGACCCAGAGTGAGTTTGACACCCTTACTTTAACTTAAGGGCTCTCCTCCTTCCCTGGTGTTTCACCTGACGTCCCCTCTTGTCCCTGCCTTTGTAAGTTGAGCAAGCCAAGCTCTTCTAGTCTTTTCCCAAGTGACCTACAACTCACAAGGGATCATAAACAAGTCATTTAGCCTCTGTGACATCCATTTTTCCCCCTATAAAATGTTGACAAACAATACTTTGCTTCATAGGAGTGCCATAGGTCTCTCAGATCCCACAGTAATAAACATCACAGAAGTACCTTGGTTAATAACACTGCTGGCCCTGAACTGGCCACATGCATTCACTTGTGCAGTCCTTTCAGCGAGAGCTGAAGGTTAAGAGAAGTAGTCGCACCAAAGGCTGGTTATTTAACTGAACTCTCTTTAAACAGACTCGTATTCTGGTGACTCACACAATCAGCATCTTGCCCTATGTCGACAATATTGTTGTGCTGGTGGATGGTGAGATCTCAGAAATGGGTTGCTACCAAGAACTGTTACAGAAAAACGGGGTTTTTGCCGACTTCCTTTATTCATACAGCAGCGCACAAGAGGAAGAGGCCTATGATTTACCAGGTAATCCACACATATGCAAATAATTTGCACCTTACTGAATCATTTGCTCCTTATAGTACACTGCTTTTATGTTTAGCATATTATTGCCTCAATGGAGATCCACTACTGTTCACAGTGGGGAAGAGTGAAATGGAACAGAACATTTGGGCACTTCTACATGTTGTCAAACACATTTTGATTAGAGCACATTGGAGTCTGCTGGGGCAGTTTAATCAGAATGCTCCAGCGTGCTGCACTCTCTCATATATTTATTGTTCCCGCATTTCAAAATGGCAGCAGGGGCACTGTAACTAAAGCTCATCGAACAAACTTTAGTTCAAGCACCCCTGCTGCTATTTTGAAATGTGGGACACTGAATACAGGAGATGCTGTGGGCATTTTTGCAGTTCCCGAGAGCCACTCTAATTAAAACACTCCCCACATCCCAGAGCACATGTATAGGTGCCCTTTGAACAAGCATTAGCTTTGTTCCATTACTGAAATATGAAGCATTTTCCCCATGTGATCTAATGCTGAGCTGCATTGTGATACAGCACTGTTTAGTAAGGAAAAAATCATATGCTGTCAGCAAATTAACCTACTCATCACCCAATAATGTAGGGCCAGTTATGTGAGATGTGTGAATAATACCTTCATATTGGAATCACTATTAATATACCTTACCCCCACGTGCCATTGCTGCAGCTCTCTGGAGAAAAATCAGACAAATATACAATTCCCTTTATAAAAAGTTCCTCGAAGTGAATCTTCGTTGTGCTGCTGAACTCTCAAAGGCTAAAACAGGACAAAAGGATAATGCGAGTTATTAAAATACATTTGTCCCACAGCTGCAGGAAATGCTGACAATGCCGTCGTTCCCAGAAATGCTATGCGCCCAGAAGAACCCTTCAGGTAAAACTAAGCTCGTCTCCAACACCGAAGCAAGGGTCTGCTCTAAAGCCCAGGCAAGCCATCGAGTCCAGTAGGTTTGTAATCAGGCTGGATGCAAATAGGGCAAGGGTAGGGACAGGACAGATGCAGGGTTCTCCTCGTCTCTGAACATGTGATGGTGTTTGCACCACGCATCATGAAAAGCCATTCTTTTCTTTCCGACTTCAGATAGAAACCTTACAGACTAAATCAGAGATGCATAAGCTTTTGTGAGCAGCAGCTTACTTGATCAGATACGAAGTACTTTGATACTTGGAATACTGTGTCCAGTTCTGGGCACCGCACTTCCACAAGGACATGGGAAAACTTGAGAGGGTCCAGAGAAGAGCCACCCTTATGATCAGGGACTTGCAAGACAAGCCATCCGAGGAGAGGCTGAAGGACTTGGGCCTCTTCAGCCTACAGAAAAGAAGGCTGAGAGGGGACTTGGTAGCAGCTTACTGCTACATCAGGGGAGTACATCAAGAACTTGGTGACCAGCTGTTCGCCAGGGCACCCCTGGGAAAACCAGGAGCAATGGATACAAACTCCTGGAAGGCTGCTTCAGGCTCAGTTCCGGGAAAAACTCCTTCACAGTCAGGGTGACCAAACTGGAATAAAATCCCTCCAGTGGTGGTGCAGTCACCTACTCTGGAAATCTTCAAAAGGAGACTGGACAGTCACCTCAGTGGTGTCACTTGACCCCAGTTATCTTTTCCTGCCTAGTGCAGGTGGACTGTACCCGATGATCTACAAGATCCCTTCCAGCCCCTAACAATCTATCAATCTATAATACAGACATTTTAAAAGACCCCTCCTTTTTGCATTTAAATCACCATTCATTCAATAGCTGTTACAGAGAGGCAAGCAGTCACTGCAGGGCAGAGAGGAAAAGATGACAGACAGCAGGGTAAAGGAAAAGTTGGCATTTTTGACTGAAGTTGTAACAGACTGTCAATCTGTAATGACAGGCAGATCAAACAGGAGACTGACATACTCCCGTAAGAAGTTGCCAGTCCTGTCTGCTTCACTGTTTGATTGATCAATGTCATGAGTCCTTAGCAAAGTAGCACAAGGCATGATTGAGAGAGACACCCCCCCCCCCCACATTGCTCATGGAAAGGGATATTGACATCACTAGAGACTGAAGTCCTCTGGATTAGCCCTAGAGAAATTACAACACCCACAGCAGCAGTGAAAGCTTCTACATCTGCAGTGTGCCCCACATTGTATCTAGAGGTGCCACCTCCATGGGCGAGAGAGGATTCTAGCCTCCGGTCCATTTAATCCTTGGCCTCCCTGCTGTTCTGTGACCACCGCCAGTCTGAGTGATACTAGGACCCTGACCCTAAGAAATGGACTGGGACCAAACTGCTTTCATATTAGCCAGGTATGGGATGCTCAGGACTTGCATTCAGTACCAGCCTCATCTGGGCAGGATAGATTTTGATTCCTGGACTTATGCACTGACTGCATACTAACAAATGTTAACCACCCCCCTCCAAAGCCTAACACCTACAACCTCAGATCTAAAAACCTTATAGTCTCGGCTACAGTGTTGTGTTTCTATACAGTGACAGGTCACTCAAGGCTTCTACAGAGAGAAGCAGCTACAGAGCCATAAGACAAGACCGTGCACCTACTGCAGCTTCCAAAGATGTGGGAAGACTAATCGAAGGGGAGAAAACTCAGCATGGCAGGGTAACTGCAGCATGTCCTCTTAAGATTAATGACACATACAATGAGCATGGGAGATGAACTTAAAAATAAGAGTAGTATTAGTCTTCTCATTTTGCTCAAGAGAAGCACGTTCAAAAGAGCTGGTCTGGGGAAGCAGGTCTTGTGGAAGTCAGGGATTTGTTAACCCAGGCAAAAAAAGGAGGATTTCACAAATGGAGTCCAGACACTGTATAGAAGTGGCTATGATTGCAGAATGGCAGACAGTAGAGATATGGGAAGGAAAGGAAGAGTGAGGGGTGATATTATAAACCCAGTAGCAGAGAACGGAGGCAAATAGGAGCTCTGAGTCACAAAGGGAAGCACAAGGATTTCAGAAGGCTCCTCTTGCCCAAGAGATACATCTCTAAAGTTGTTATTTATGGCAGGTTAGCTTCCACTGCTGAGCAGTTAATAGGATGCTTGTAAGTTATCACCAGTGAGAATAAACATTACTGAAAACGATGCCAATTTGGACTCAGCAGGCACTTGGAAGTTGCCTGGATGCCCTGAATTGGTTTAACAGTGCTGCAATGTATTCATTCTGCAGTAAAAGTGAATATCATTGGGGCTGCCAAGGCATCTGATGCATAACAGAACATGTACACCATGATACATCACTGCCTCACTTAAAAATCAAACAGGTTAACAAGCCTGGCCCTTGCTTTCCCCCACCCCCCTCCCCTTCTCTCTTGATTGCTTCACTGTAGGTTAATACTTCCATTTATTTGGACTACCTGAGGGCAATGGGCTCCCCAATCTGTTTGTACATCATCCTATTGTTTACATGTCAGCAAACTGCATCATTTTGTCGCGGTTACTGGCTCAGCAAGTGGGCAGATGACCCTGTTAACAATGGAACGCAAAAGCACACAGAGCTGCGAGTTGGAGTGTTCGGTGTTCTTGGAGTCATTCAAGGTTTGTTGACCTGGTCACCTTCCTGCCTCTCTCTTTCAGGACATTTTCCCAGCTAACAAATAGTCACATTTCTTAGGGGAAGTTTGTCTCAAGGGCTCTTGGAAACCAAAGGTCTTGGCACAGAACCCAATTTGCACAGTACTGATTTGTATGGGATCTGAGCAATATTCCCAGTATTGCTGCCCAACGCTTTGGCTTGCTTGTGTGTGCACACCACATCTTTAACGTAGTGTGGATTGCAACCAAAAACAGTGGGAAATGGCTCCGTTCTTCACCTCCATGGTTAAAGCTATAGGATCTGGTGCCCATGAAAAAAAGTCTCAGGTTGAGACTGTTGCAACTTTCTCAGCCTCCCTGTTCCTCAGCCCCCTGTTGTCCTCATTTCCTCTTTCTTTGTCCCCTCATTACCTTATCTGGTTCCCATTTTCCCTTCCATCAAGTCACACCTTAAATCAGTATGCCACTTCTTACAAATCAAATACCATCTATGATCCTACGTCTTTTGCATGTAAAAATTAAAAGGTGTGACAGTTAATTGCGATTAGATACTGGTTATCCCTTTCTCCTAAACAAAAATGGCTGGAAAAAAAACTCCAACACTTAAAAGAAAAAAAATTAATTTAAGGCAGCTTCAAACCTTGAAAATTTCAGCCCAAGTGTTGACAGTTTTAAACTAAGTGAAAATAGAGGTCAGAATGGAAACTGTTAGTTGTTCCTGCTGTGACAGTGACTCTAGACCTCTCAGGCCCCCTCTACATGTGCAGGTAAAGGCACAGTGGTATCTACTGCACAAGCCACACAATTGTGCTTCGTGCCATGCGTGGCAGGAGGCGCAATTGTGGGATCACATATTAGATCCCATTGCACCTTATCTCTGGTGCAGGGGGAGCCTGGGATCATGGTGCAGGCTCCCCCTGCACCAACTCTCACAGCTGTGAGCTCCACAGTTAATGAGGCTCACAGTGGGGACAGCGTTTCCTGCACTGTCCCTGCTGTGAGCCATGTGACAGATGTGGGCTGCGGGGCTCGCAGCGGGGGCAGCACAGGAGCATGCTGCTGCCACTGCAAGCCCCACACCTCCAGAGGCTTGCAGGAGCACCAGTGTTGTCTTTGCTGCTGCCGCTGCAAGCTAATGCAGTGTCAGCTACAGAGCAGCACAGGGGAATGCTGCCACACCTTGAGCCCCTCAGCACAGGAGGTCAGCAGTGGCAGCAGCATTCCCCTGTGTTGCCCCCACTGCGAGTCCCGCAGCCAAGGCATCTCACAGGGGACGACTTGGCAACACATAGGGAGGGTCTGGTGGGGGGCACATGCCCACCTTGAGATTGGCCACCGCCAACACTGCCACCGGCATCTGTGAGTAGTCCCTGCTCGCTGCCAACACTGCCGCCTACAAATTGTACCCCCCCCCCAGTCTCAGAAGGCACCAGTCGTTCATGCAGGAGCGGCAGCATTTTTCCCTCTGCAAGCCCCACAGCCAACGCTACCACCACTGTGAGCCTTGTCAGCTGCAGGGCTGGCAGCAGGTGGTGCTCCCCTGTGGTTGGGAGCCCCTCAGTTGATGGGGCTGCCAGTCACAGGGTCTAGCCACACATTCAATTAATAGTATGATTAGAACAAGCTTTAAAATTATGACACATTTTTTGTGGAATAACTTTGTAGCTTATTTTATCACGCCATTAATTGGTTGAACATGTAGCTGTGTCACAACTTAAGATGCGATTAGCTGGTTAATCATGCCTTAAGTGTAATGTGTAGAGGGGACCTCAGAGTTGGAACCTGTGGGGTCTACTCTACTCAGAAGAGTCAGTCATCCCAGTTCAGTGTGTGTTCACTGAAGAAAGCAGGGCTTCTCTCTTTGGCGAGGAAGGCTGTCTGGTGGGTGACAATGAATGAACTGCTCCGTTACACTTAGAGAAACTCAGTCTTAAATAGTAAACCCCTTAGGACAAGGGCCGTCTTCCTGTGCTGTGTTTGTGTAGTGTCTTGCACAATAGGGTCCTAGTCTATGACTAAGGCTTTTAAGATACTACAATAATGCATATAAATAGGCCAGTTCCTTTTGCCAGTATTAAATTCATGGGGAGGGTTTAAATAACCTTGACTTTGAATTTCAGTGACTTACCCAACCTGAACTCTGATTTCTCTTGCACTTTACTTCCCTTTTTTGTTACAGCCATTGGCAAGTTTGGGTCCACAGCAGCTGTCCTGCTAGGAGGGGCAATAGCATCCCGCAAGCTCTTTCGGCAGTTACTGGAAAACATTGCTAGATCCCCAATGATGTTCTTTGAGCAGACATCCATTGGAAACTTGCTGAACCGCTTCTCCAAAGAAATGGATGCTATTGATTCTGTTATCCCAGATAAGCTTAAGTCCTTGCTGGGGTTCTTGTTCAACTTGTTGGAGATCTACATTGTGATTGTATTGGCCACACCAATAGCGGTAGTGGCAATCGTGCCATTGACAGTGCTGTATGCTGTGTTCCAAGTAAGATTTTGTCCTGATGTTTAGTTTTCAGTTGGAAAGATTAGAAGGACTTGAGCACTGTGGGTGGTATAAGAACCACTCATGTCCCTTCCCGCAGGAACCAACTCCCATCTTTAGATTAACATGAACCAGACCTTTCTGAGAAATCCAGAGAAATGGGTTTTTGCATCTGATTTCATACCTGAACCAAAACCACCAGTGACTAAACCCACCAAGATCAATAGTTTGCACAGAACCCAAACTCTTCATCCCACAAGCCTCATGACAAGTCTTATGTATTCGTGGTGTTTTGGCAGGAGTCCAATATGGAGGAATACTCCTGTATTTCCCTAGCATAAATGAAATGCAGCTAAAATCAGAAGCAATTTCCCCCCTTTGGTTTCCTAGCAGCCTATACCAAAAAGGCATATGCTTTTCACTGCACCCAGATCTTCCAGTCTGGCTTTTTGGTGGGTCAGACATTTTACCAGAATGAGACTGGGAAGCCTCAGGTGCAGCTCCCAGCTTTAACTCTGAATGTTTTCTGCAAAGGTTCTTAGTTACGAACCTTACCCCAGACCAAACCGAAGTTCACTGTTGGTTCCAGGGGGGAGGGGAATCTACCTGCCCCTAGGAGCATGTATCCAGGTTCCCATAACAATGTCCAGGTTTCAGAATGGAAGCGGGGAAGGTAGCAAAGGGAGCTCCGTTTTGGGACTCCCCGGCTGGTGCTGAAGAGTGGGGTGGGTGAATTGGAGCCTCCCCCCACCTTCCAGGGGGGCTCCAATACACCCAGCCCACCCCCATGGGGGCGGGGGACTGAAAAACCCCCAGACTGAACTCCCTCTGCTCCCTTTCCCCCCTCCCATTCTGAAAACAGTGACAGACATGTTACAAAAGATGCTACATTTTGAAATGTCTTTATCTGATACCTGGTGATACAGAGCTTGTCTACACAAGCTGCCCAGTGCTTGGTAAGCTACAGTGCAAATTTACACTATGCCACACTAACATCCTATGTGGACCTGTTTTGTGTGTCCACACAGAAAGCTAGTGCAGCACACTTTGTATGCAGTGAAATCACACTCTACTTTAGTAGGCAGAGGCTTTCTTGTATAGACCAAACCTATGATCACTGTGGTTTACTATGAGTAAATAGGGCAGGGAAACAAGAACTTTGTCATGATATCTAACATAAGTAGCAGTGAATGGGACAGATGCAATAGAATGGCATTGTATTTCCATCTACACCACTCAATGACCCTATTATCACCAGGGTAGAGTTAAGGGAGCATAATGAAATGGGGAAGTAGTAACCTGGCCTAACACTGCACTATGCAGCATTAGAATGGATTCTGTAGACCTGGCACATGTGTTCTGGTTACTTATGCAGTAATGCACCCCAATCTTGGGCAGTTTGTAGTACCTAGAGTGTCGTAGGCTACTAATCTAAGAACTTGAACTAGAGACAAAGGCTGAGGCCCATACACATACTTTTAAATTGGAAAAGTGGCAATAAAATGATGAGCAAGATCCTCATCCCTGTTCCCGCCACTTTAATACAAGGCTTAACAGAAGCCTAAAACAACTGGCTCTGGCCCAGAAGGGAGCCCCTCTGCTGCAGGCACTATGGAGAGCTGGCATTACAGCTCCCCCCAGCCTTTGCCAGAGGAAATCTACTGGGGAATTGAAGTGATGGGGTCACAATATACCTCACTGTAGAAATCCAGGCAATGCTACAGCCTTTGAACAGCCTGGGGAGTTTACTGTAAGCCAGACAAGACCTTAGGTCCTTACAGCTACCTCACATACATTTCCTCCTCCCTTGTTCCCCAGGCTATGTGCTGTGCTCCTTCAGGAACGTCTTTGATGCCATGCTGTGTGCAGATGCCTTATCTCACCTAATAGGTCTAAACACATTTGGTCTGCACATTAGTTTTTATACTGCTGGGTCACTGGGTTTTGCTGCATGTTGGGCCCATCCCAGGTTTTCTGGATACAAGCCTGATGAGTGGGTGAGTGATACGTTCTCACCAGATCACTTGCCCCTTCCATTCCATTTTTCCCAGAATTTCTATGTTGCCACCTCCTGCCAGCTGAGGCGTCTGGAGGCTGCTAGCCGCTCGCCCATTTACTCCCACATTTCAGAGACGTTCCAAGGAAGCGGTGTGATTCGTGCTTACAAGGCACAACAGAGGTTTATTTCCAAGAACGATTTCCAAGTGGATGAGAACCAGAGAATGTGCTTCCCTGGGGTGGTCGCTGACAGGTAGGAAGCTGCAAATATAGGGGATAGGATCCTGCCATTCACACGAAGCTTCACATAAGCAATGCTTAAGGGAAGAGCTGCTATACCTTGCTGCTGCCAATGTCAGAGTAACAAGTCCAGAGTCTGCCTCCACCTAAAGATCAGTGGTACAGAGCTTCCGAGCACACAGCCGCAGTCCCCAGACAGAACACAGAATACTTTTGCTGCAACTACCTGATGGCATTTCACTGTTGATGAAAAGTAACAATCAACCAAGTGGCCATGACTTTAGAGCTCTGTCCCCAGAAGCATTTTAAAGAGCACTTGCCAGTGATAAATGGGGAGGAAATAAGAATCTCAGCAAAGATTAGCTAAATCTCTGCTTTGCTTGTAGGTGGCTGGCTGCAAACCTGGAGTTTCTAGGCAACGGCATTGTATTGTTTGCAGCCCTTTTTGCTGTGATCAACAAAAAGCAACTTAGCCCGGGGATTGCTGCCTTTTCCATTTCATATGCTCTTCAGGTAACTCAGAACAGCAATGTATGGTTTTGCCATCTAACAGGAGTCTCAGGTTGTCAGTCATTTATGTTCATCATAGATAATGCCCCAGGGATCCAGATCCTGCAGCATCTGCTCATCTGAGGATCAGCCCACGGCATTCCAGATAGAAGTATTTTAAAGAATCTTTGACATTTCCCTCAGCTTGGACAGTTATGAAGTTATGAAACTAAGCCAGCTTCCCAGATGTTAACAGCTTCTGGACAAATGTCAGGTTGTCATGTACTAGCACAGTTGTGCAACACATGAATTGCAAATAGTGAAGGGGAGTAAATGTTTTTCTCTCCCAAAATACCAGCTGCTTTCTTTCTAAGTATTTAAAATTAAACTGAATTCAATAGAATTTGTTCCAGATTCTATTTTGTAAAAAGCTTATGTTTGCAAACTGTGCAGTTACAGCTTATAAATTGCAACACTTGTGTGCACTACTGTTATAGAGAACAAGTCTGATACCTACACCCGGAGGGCCCCTCAGTAACTATCTTGCTACTACTGGGTTTGAAAATAGGTAGAAACTGAAGGAACATTTAACAGGCAAAGTACTGTCCCCACCAGATCACTGCAAGAAACATGCAGGTTGCTTAGAACAGAAAACCTAACACACTGTATTAGCACTGAGGAGCTGCAGGTGAACAAATCAAATGTTGATCCACAAAATACAAGGCCAGATGTCACAAAACAAGATCATGAACACCCTGGCAACCAGCCAGCCAGAAAAATGTGCATGTACTAAGCTGCATCCTACAAAGTAGCAAGGGCTAGCTACTGGGGCTGTACAAAACGGCACCATTACGTTTCGACTTGAGTTTCAACAGAACAGCGTTTCATTTCAAATTTCGTTTCGATTCAAAACTGCTGTTCCGTTTTGTTGAAAAAGTTTTGCTGTTTTGACACTGTTTTGACATTTTGCCCATAGGCTATAATGGGGAAGCTCGAAACAACCTATAACTTTGTCATTTCTGGCCTGATTTGGATGAAACTTGCAGGAATGGGAGCCCCTTCTGAGAGCATGAACCCCGCTTTGTTTCAAGGAGATGGGTGTAGGAGCTTGGGGGAAACTGCACCTCAAGCTGCAGACAAGCAAAACTCATGACATGGGTGATACTGTGTGTGTGTTAAGGTGCAGCAGGGTGAAAACTGCAGGCTTGCCAGGCCCTGCTGAGGCCACGAAGCCTGCCAGCTGTCAAGGAGACTGGTGCTGGGTTCTAGGCCCCTGCACTCCTAGCTGCTGACAGGCAAAACTCGTGACATGGGTGGGTGACACTGTGTGTGTGTGAAGGTGCGCCCTCACTCAACTGACACCAAGGCAGAAAGCAGGGCAGTTCAAACAATGCTGCCTTTTCTGCAGTTTTTCCATCCCTCCCCCAGAGCACTGGGATTGGAAGAGAACTCAGGGAAGTGTGACAGTCACTGGCCAGCTACACAGTCAATGAGAGCACTCCCCCCACCCTCACCTTCCCCCTCCCTCTCCTTAACTTTAGTTTCTGTTTCCCTGCAGGCAAGCTCAGCTTCAGCTTCAAAACTCGAAACGTTTTTAAAAATTTTAAACGTTTCGACTTGCCTTGCTTCATTTTGAGGCTGTTTTGAAGCTCTGTTTCGTTTTGATTTTGCTGTTTCGAGCTCAAAACGAGTCAAAACAGCGTCGAAACAAAACTGCTGGTGAAATTTTGCACAGCCCTACTAGCAACTTCACAAGAACCTGGTCAGTCTACATTTAATTTCTGTTTTCTCAAGCTCCTTTCTCTCTTGCTAGATAACTGGCATTTTGAACTGGATGGTGCGCTCCTGGACAGAAATAGAAAACAATGTCGTTTCGGTGGAGAGAGTGAAAGAGTATTCAGCAACTCCTAAAGAGGTAGCTAACCAGATATTATTCTCATCATTTGAACTGGACTTCTTCCCAAAGCGGACTGGCAATATATTTCTTTTCTAAATGGATAAACACCCAGTGTCTTTCTTCCAGAGGGCCCAGTGCCATTACTTTTAAGAACTGGCAGCATTTGTTGTTTATTAAACTATGCAGGCATGATTTATAACCTCTGTTCAGGGTATTTCCTTAAATAAGGTAAATAATAGCTGCCATTTCAAAGTATCATTTGTTAAGTTCTATGAAAAGACCTGCAAGTTTTCTCCATACTCGGAAATTGCATTAATTGGGACATCATGGATGCAAGGCTGTGCTAATTGCTGACCCTTTTTAATGGCTGAGAATCTCAACTTAATCCTTTGTATTTGCATTAGTAAGTAATTATGTACCTCTTCACATTAATCATATCAGTGTTTACTAGAGGTGCCATACTGGTCCCATATCAAATTGGCACCAATTTAAGGAAAATTGACTGGCATTCGGCTGTTTTGGCTGATGTGGTTGATAATGCCACTGCTAAATACCCCATGCACGCACGCAGCCACAGCGCAGCACACAGACAGTAAGGAGCACAGCCAGCAGAGTGGAGAGCAGCCAGGTCCGGCTGGTAAATCTGTTGTAAGGGAAGGGGCATAGGGCGGCAGATTGAGGCCCCTGCGGTAAGGGAGGGAGTTGGGCTGGGGTTGAGGCAAGTGCTGCACAACCGGGTTGGAATGGAGGACGGAGCCATAAGCAGCTTGTCTGGGGGTGCAGGGAGAGGGGACAGCTCCTGTCGCTGCGCACACTCCTTGGAGGCCATGTGGGGTGTGTGCCCCCAGATCTGCACACAGAGCCAGGGCGGGCTGCCGCTGGGGCTGGGGCAAGTCAGGGTTTTCCCGGCAGGAGAGTTGGGCTGGGCTGCACTTGGGGCGGGTGGCGGTGATGCTAGGAGGGGGGGCTGTGGTGAATTTTGGGGTGGCTTCATGCCCCCATAGTCCCCTCACAGCGCTGCTGCCTCCCACCGCAAGCTGAGCCCAGCCCAGCACCTTCCAGGAAGGGCCTAGCACTGCCCCAGCCCCAGCCCATGCTCACCCCACATGCAGATCCGGGAGGCACATGCCCCCCAGGCCTCCCCCGGGGTGCGAGAGGTGGCAGGAGCCATCCCCGCTCCCCACCCCTCTATGAGCCTCTTGCAGTTTAATCCCGCACTCAAACCCCACTCCCTCCCTCACCACAAGTGCCTCAATCTTCCCTCCCCCCTTATCCCTTCCCCCACAACAGACTTACCAGCTGCTCTCTGAGCTGCCTGACTGCATATCAGCAAATCAGATAAGTATCAGCTGATATGGCTTGTTAAAAATTGGCCATCAGTATCAGCCTAAAAATTCTCTGTTGGTGCACCCTACTGTTTACAACTCGATAACCTGAAAATATGCCTTTCACAAAAGACATGTTTGCAGAGATCTATACAACCAAATATAATTAGATCAGTGAAAAATATACATCTGTCTGTCAAACAAATTCTTATCCTCAGTCTCAGCTAAGAAAATAGTCTGATTTGCTGTATAAAGTAACTAAGGTTAGGTTTTATTATGAAGAATGCCATCTCCAAAAAGACGCAGTTCCAGAAAAAAAATGTGAACCCATGCTTTGAGTATTCTTTCATATTGCATACAGCCATGTTACCCGCTGATGGACTGACTGCTGAACAAGATGTCATTTGTTTCCTTTCTACATAGGCCCCCTGGACTCAGGAAGCCAAGTCTCGAAGTCAGGCTTGGCCCACTGAAGGAAGAATTGAATTTAGGAACTACAGTTTACAGTACAGGCCAAACTTAGAGTTAGCACTGAAGAATATCACAATAACAATAAGGGGGCAAGAGAAGGTGAGAAATGGCATTTGTTTCTTAACTGCTAAAAGTGTAACTAGTACTTTATAATAGGTAGACAGAAAATGTGATCCCTGCCTCACTGAGTTAATAGCTTGAAGGTACAAAAGCTACATTAAACACATACACACACCGTTAAGGCCTTCCTAAGCTTATAATGGATGTACAAGAAGTCCTCAACTTGCGACTTTTCAAGTAATGATAAACGGCACTTACAACCCTTACAAACTGACACCATGTTTGGAGTTGCCAAGGTGGGTTTTAACTTTCCGACACTGTGTCCAGCTGGTAAGTCTGTTGTGGTGGAAGGGGAAGGGGGAGGGAAGGGGTGGGGGCAAATTAAGGCCCCTGCAGTGAAGGAGGGATTGGGGCAGGGGCTGGGGCAAATGCTGCCCAGCTGGGGTGGGCAGGCATGGGACGAAGGCACGGCTCATCTGGGGGACAAGGGGAGGGGGCGGGGTGGCTCCTGCCACTCATCTGGGAAGGTGTGAAGGGCAGGGGGCATGTACCCCCGGATCTGCATGGGGTAGGTGGGGCTGGGGCTGCACCAAGCTGTGCTCTGGACGGGTGCTGCGGCACAGAGCAGGGGCTATGCCCTGCTGCCACTCACCCAGCTGGCAGGGGTGGGCACAAGACCTCCGGACCAGCAACTCACAGTGGTGGGAGTTGCCCCCGCCCCCATGCCCCTCAGACAAGCTGCGGCTGTCCCTTGCCTGCCCCACCCCAGCAAGGCAGGTGGCAAAATGGGGCCTGTGAGGGGGCTGCAGTCACCCAAAAATTCACCGTAGCCCTCCCCCACAACAGCCCATGCTCAGAGCCCAGCACGGTGCAGCACAGATCTGGGGGCACATGACAACCCTCCCCGCCCTCCCGGACAAGTGGCAGGAGCTGCTGGATGAGCAGCACCTGGACGTGCAGCGGCAGCAGTGGCCCTCCCCCTCCTCCCCCAAGACATGTTGCACCTTCATCCTGTGCCCCCCTGCCCCGGCTGGGCAGTCTTTGTCCCTGTCCCAGCCCCAGCTCCTCCTTCACTGCGGGGGCTTTGATCTGCCGCCCGACACCTTTTCCCTCCCGCCTTCCTCACCACAACAGACTTACCAGCAGGACACAGCTGTATCGTGCATTGTCAAGGAACCAATCGCCCATTTATAACATTGTTCCTATGGGGAAACTGGTTCCAAGTTACAACATTTAGACTTAAGATCTGGTTTTCAGGAACCAGTTGTATCATAAGTCTGAGAACTGCCTGTAGTCCTGTCCCTGATGTAGACCCCCATAGAAAAAAGTCAAAAGGTTTCCTCCACCATCTGACCTCAACTTCCTTGTCATTTGAAGAACACAGAACAGGTTTCCTAGAGGCCCAAGGACAGGAGCAGATGAAGAAAAACTAAGTTGTAACTGAGAAGTGATTTCTTTTTAAATGCAAAGGAAGTCACAAGTAGTCTGTCTTCACATCAAATAGGGAATCAGGATGACAGCACCATTCATACCATAGACCCAAGTTGTACATTTCTTCAAAACTTCTAATATTCGTTATCGTCCAACCTGCACACACAGCAAAATTAACCAATAGGTCTCTTTCTACATGGCAGTTCCACAGTCATATAATTCAGCCATCATTTGGTCAAGAATCAAAATCCAAGTATAAAGTGAATAATCTACTTTAAATTATATTTTATAGATTGGCATAGCTGGAAGAACAGGAGCTGGGAAATCAACTCTTGCAGTGGGACTACTGAGATTAGTGGAAGCTGCTGAAGGAGAAATCTCAATTGATGGAATAAATATTGCTCACATAGGTCTCCATGACCTTAGAACCAAAATAACAATTATTCCCCAGGTATGACATTAATTTCTAAAAGTGCTTATCCATTGCATGGGGTGCTAGTATGTGGGACAGGCAGGAAGGAAGGTTCTCTGTGAGAAGGCTAGCCACAGATATGAAGGGGAGAAGTCACCCTTATGACCAGCTAGTCTTACTTTGCATACTACACTAGCCAGAGATTTTCACTCCATTGGTCCCTACAATAGGTAAAAACCTGCAGTGGCAGGAGTTTAAGAGGTCTGTATTAATTTCAGGATTTTTTGTATTGTTTTTATTGTTTAGGATCCAATTTTGTTTTCTGGCTCTCTAAGAATGAACCTCGATCCCTTAAACACATACTGTGATGCAGACATCTGGACAGCTTTGGAACTGACTCAGCTTAAGAACTTTGTACTGAATCTGCCCGATCAACTGAACTACGAGTGCTCTGAACAAGGGGAAAACCTGAGGTACCTTCACTGCCATCAGAAAAAGACAGCACAGCCCTGGTCGGTGGGTGAGGGGGTGATGCAGTTGTCAAGATTGTCCAAATAAGGAAGAATGCTATTAAACAGAAGCAAATGTGATTTAGTAAAATCCAAAAGATATAGTCCTGTTACTTTAAGGAGTAACAGCAGCAGGGAGATCCCCAGGTAGGGAAGGCTGCTCATTATGAGCTGCAGGAGAACAGGCTGCCAGGGACTTACAGGCTATGAGTGCCTATTGCAGAACTTGCAGCTCTGCAATAGTACAATAGGACAGAGCCCTGTCTGGGAAGCAAGGACATTGCTAAAGCAGCCAGAGCAGCAAAAATGAGTTGCCCTGGGAGCTAGTCATCAGGCCCCAATTGGAAACCTCTGTGGGTGACCAGAAGGGGCAGGGCTTAGGAGGCAGATAAGCCCAGGGTTTGAGCCAGGGTGGACAGTCTGGTCCTGCCAGCCAGAGAAGGGAGAGTTCTGTAGCAAGCTAGCTGTGGTCAAGTTAAGGCCTGGGATCAGCAAATAAGGAACCGAGGGCTTGCACAGAATTGGGACCCATGATGAGTAGGGGTCTTGATATCTTAGTTATAGCCAGAGGTCTTATGCTTTTTGTTTGAGTTTTACCAGTGGTTTTGGCCTATTAGGAGGTGTTACGGAGGTCCCAGTGGTTGGGCACGTGACTGTTTTGAACCCAACAAGGGGGCAGGCTTGAGGTGCTGATAGGCAGCAACTGGTTAGGGTTGAAGCCTAAGCCAGCTGAGGTCATAGCTTGACAGTGCAAGAGCCAGGGCCAGGGGGCCCAAAAAGGGTGGAGACAAAATCCTGCAACGGATGAGACTAGGGTCAGGGGCCCACAACCCTAGAGGGACAAGACCAAGGCCCAAAACTGAGAAATTAGAGACAAGGGCTGGTGCCTAATAAGCTAAGATCTGGTGCAGTGGGTTGAGGAAAAAGGAGCTGGTGAGAGCAGAGGGGCAAAAGCTGAGAAGGCCAAGGCCCCAACAAGGGGAAGCGATGGAACAGTAACACCTGTGAGACACAGGCCTGGCTGTAACAGAGGTCAGAGGCCACAAAACTAACCCTTAAGGCAACTAATGCCCTGGGGCATGGATGGGGCAAGAGGACCAAGTCAATACAGCAAGGGACTGGATTGGGACCAGTAGGATCTGGGAAAGACCTGCTGGCTCAGATGGACAAGGGCTCAGTCTGGGACCTGAGGGCAGCCTCCCTTATTACCCATCAACTAGTTACATCGAGGTGTAGCAGGCAGCAAAGAAAGGGACAGTACCCAGGAATCCAGAGCAGGAACCACAGCCACCAAGGGACATCACTGCCACCCCTGGAACTTGGTCCCACTACAAACCCCCTGAGGGGAAATCTGCAACAGCACTTTGACATCCCTTAGACTAGAAGATCTCCGGGGCAGACTGCCTTGTTCTGAGCTTGTGCAGTGCCCAGCACAGTTGACACCTGGACCATGACTGAGGCTCCTACATGCTGACATAGTACAAGTTAATAATGTCCCCAGCTTTGGTTGGTCTCAAACTATTATCTGCCGTGTTGTCAGCATCACAGGCTCCATGCACACACCGCTCCTCGTTCATCTCCTAAAATTCAGACAGAACGCAACTCTGAATAATTCCAGGCTCCTGGTTCCTCAGAGAAAGGGAGCCATGAGCCTGCCAGAACTTTCTCAAATTGATTATTTTTTCTGAACCCCAGTAACACTATTTGCTGCTCCTCAATTCCCCATCCTACCTTTTTGCTTTCAGCATTGGTCAGAAGCAGCTTCTTTGTCTGGCCAGGGCACTGTTACGGAAAACCAAAATCTTGGTTCTAGATGAGGCTACAGCATCAGTGGATGTAGAAATGGACCTCCATATTCAATCAATGATAAGGACTCAGTTCAAAGAGTGCACAGTGTTGACAATAGCTCATCGTGTGAACACCATCCTGGACTGCAACAGGTAGTCTTCCCCTGGCAGATTTGTCCAGTCATTTTCATAAGTCTGTCCCTCTCTCTCTCTGCTCCATCTACCCCACCGGGGTGCTCTCTCAAACAATAGCAGGTGCTTATTGTCAGTGATGGATGCATCAACTGCTGAGAAACAGTGAGGTCTGTCTAGGTCCACTGAAGTCATTTAATTCTTTATTCCACCCTTTTGTCTACTGATGTAAATTAAAGCTGCAGAGAGTCTCCTCACTGGAACCTCTCCCTCTGCTCAGACATCACTTGCTGCTTTACAATTAAAAAATAGGAAGCCAAAAGTTCCGTTTAAATACATACTCATGACATTGCCACAAAGGGGCCACCCAACTTATGCATCATTTTTTAACATTTCGTTACGTCTACTACGCTCCTGTGGCTTGTTTCCTGGTTGGGGAATAGTGGCAGGAGCTGATCTAACAACATCTAATAATCATAGCTCAGAATGGTTACTTAAGTTAGTGTTGCTTTTGCATTCCAATACTCAAATTTCTGTTTTAATATTATTCACAGGATTTTAGTCTTGGAAAACGGTCAGATTGCTGAATTTGATACGCCAGAGAAATTAATGGCTCGGAAGGGACTATTCTACAGACTGGTTGAAGAATCAGGCCTTGTTTGATCATCACCCAAAACATGCATCTGTTGTTGAAAAGAACTGATCTATTCTTAAATCACCTAACTTTGGTTTGGTTGTAAAACATCAGGTACTTAATCAAATCTCATCTGCATTTGAGCCACGATGCACTAAATAGTTAAAGGGAAACCGTTTTACTGTACATGAAAGATATACACACACATCCAGCTTTTTGATTTTCAGACCGCTTTCCATCATTACACTAGATGAAACTGTGGTCACAATTGGATGTTATTACCAAAGGTTTTGGCATTCTCTCTGGGAAGGAACGAACAGTTATGTCGCACACACCACTTCCTTATTGGCTTGGTTTTCAAAAATTAAATACTAATAATTCATTTATGCCCAGTTAGTCAGATGAGCCAATTGGAATTTAAACACCTGGCTGGGGTCAGATGACCCCAGCACTCTTTCCTGCCCAAGGCAGGGGGTCAGACTCGATGACCTACTGAGGTCCCTTCCGGCCATAAAAATCTATGAATTCTGGGGTTAGAAGAAGACATGCACACTCGCATGTTACTGCTTTTGAAGCAAAATAATTGTGCTTTGCATTTGACTCAGATTGTATTACAAATAGTGGCAACTTCTCTGGGAAGGTCTTAGACATTCCTGAGTGCCAAAGAAATCAAGCTGTCATTCAGTTTACGTTGCAGTGAGGTGCTGCTAACATCCTTTACATGTTCTGTAAAATAACTCAGTACAAATGAAACCTTACTTGAAATCCTGACTTTGGTACTTCCCACAGCACAGAATTTGCCATGTTCAGTGGGTGCTGTCCTCCTACTTCAGGCAGATGGATAGTGCTGGAAAAGTACATTTTATACAATGAGAGAGTTGGTATGTGCTTGTGCAGAGCCCCAGGCTGAAAGGGTTCCTCTCCTTGGTTTATTCCTAAAAATTAAACAGCTTCTATCTAATTGTGGGCAAGTCATTTTTCTATGCTTCTTTCCCCTTCCACACTTTGGTCTATTTAGATCATAGGGTCCTCATGCCAGGGACTGAGCCTTGCTGCTGTCGTGGACGGGAAAGCCCCAGTCTTCAATGCAGTTTGTAGACATTATTACTTTTAAAAAATGAGACAGGAAACAAAGCACTGGGATACTTAGATGAAATATACCGTGATTGTTGTTAAGATGCCGTATTATTCCAATTTTATCCCAGATTCTCCAGCTCAAAGATATCAGAATGTCTGTTTCTTCAGGAAATAATATTGGGAGGAATAGGAGAATGCAGATTAGGAAGCGGCTCCTTCCAGCTCGGGGAAATAACAACCAGCAGTTTGTTGTCCATCACCTGATCGCTGTTCAGTGGCTGACCTAGCATGTGTTTAAATGACCTTAGTCTAGTTTCCAATGGATGTGTCACAGTCCCAAAATCTATCATCCGCTACTCATGCTTGGTGTTAACAGCAGGAAATGCGCAAGCAAGGGCTTTCTCTTGCTATTGTACATGTTTGTGCCAAAATAAAACACTTTAGGGCAGTGGTTTTCAACCGTTTCAAACTCCAGGCACTCCTCATTAAACTTGTGGTACCCCCGGCCCCCAGAACTTTTGCAAATTGAGTAGCACTCAATTTAAAATACTAATTAATTAATTTATTACAGTGCTCATCTCCTTGCCATGTGGGGAGAGGGAGGGGGCAGGCAGGAATGGAGAGCCTGAGCCTGTCCTTATCTCCTCACACATCCTGCAGCACTCTTCCAAGGATCTCAGGCATCCCAGGTTGAGAATCACTGCTTTAGGTTACAGATAGATGATCTGTTTGCAACCCAGTAAGTCAGACAGAAGTGTGCTTTTAAAAACCAGAGAGATTTCCAGATCCTACAATGAAGCAAAACAAAAATACCATTGGGTCCCAAGATGTGTAAAGACATGTTGCAAAAGAGACTGAATTCTTAAAATTATGTCCATCACTTTGATGAACGCAGTATTTTAGATTAATACAAGTCACCAACTTTATGATCTAATTGGTAATGGCTAAGTACAGACATTCAAGAAACCCTTTACTTCACTTTACTTAAAGCACTAAATTAAAGTGTGATAAAACCAAACAGATGTTTACTGCTTGGTGGGGGGGACCCTGCCCACATTAGTTACTGCAGGCACTCACAGAAGGCTGCTGGAATAGTCTCTCTTCCCAGCCCCAGCCCCCCACCCTTGCCACCTGGCAGCAGCTGGGGGAGAGGGAGACCCCAGGCCCCTTCCCCGTGGCCCCCCGCTACCATTTTGGAGTGTGGGGACACTGAATACACGTGATGGGGAGGCTGCTGGAATGTGCTAATTAGCATACTTCAGCAGACTCGATTAATTTAGTCTGCTCCAATGTATGCTAATTAACATGCATCGAAGCAGATGTCCAGCATGTGTATAGGTGCCCTTAGGAGCACAATCCACCATTTTTCAAGTGCTCTAAGAGCCATGAACATCAGTTCATTTACAGCTTTAGAGTGCTTTGTGCATGCTTAATGCATGATGATCTGTACCTAGCCAATGCAACTAAAGCAGTGATTCTCCACCAGAGTGCTGGGACATCCCAGGGTGCCAGCAGATCCTTTGATGGGTACCTTGAGGTATGAGAAGATAATTAGATAAGCTAAGTAGATTAACACACACACAGTCTTGTCCAGGCGTGATCCCCAACCCAGACTGCCCCACCTCCCTACAAGAGAGAAAGCACTGTAACACAACTTAGTTGTTGAAACAGAAGTTCTGGAGGGGCAACTTGAGTTCAAAAAAGTCTGAGAACCACTGGACTAAAGAAACTATCATAAGCATCAATCAAATGCCAAAACCCATTTCCTGTAGAAAGTAAGAGTAATTTGAAATAGGTTCACTGGAAACCTGGATCCAGCAGAGCATACAAAGGGATTTAAAAATCACTGATCTGTCACTCATTTGAAAATTTGATTTTAAAACTAGCAAACAAACAAACAAAACAAAACAAACAAACAGGAAGGGAAGTTTAAAAGAACAAGTCTCTGGTAAAATAACATCTATTCCCTTCCCCTAAGACACCATTCAAACAAGGTTTTATGTTGAGAATTCTGTGTTGATACGAGTTTTCATAAGTTACTTTGAAGAAATATGAAATGTTAAGAAAAATGTTGAATAAAATGATACAGAATAAATGATGCAATAAGCAGGCTTTATCATAATGAGGCAAATTTTCAACTGATATCAGTGGAGTTAGAGTAGGTAGAACTGTAGCACAAGGTGGGTTGATTATTTCACCTTGGGTATCTTTACTCAGATTCAAAAATATTCTAACCGAGGAACAGAGAAAAGGACGGCAAGGGAATGATGGATCCTCTATGGCAGGGGTCCTGCAGGCTAGATGAGCAGTTCAGAGCCAGTCTACAGGCCAGATCAAGCGCACGGACCTGTCCCCCCCGCCCTGTGCCAGATCTAATGTATGGAACAGTGGGTCACAGACTGACAAGAGCAGACACTGTACAGCATGGGTTCCAGACTAGTGGGGAACGGGGGGGAGAAGCACCATGCAGCATAGTCCAACGTGTGGCACAGATCCCATAGCGGGTGCCACAAGAAGTGCATGTCCTGGACCCTGTGCATGGGACCGGCTCAGCATGTGCTGCCTGGGTCAAACGGATCAACTCAATGACAGCAGGGGCCAGCGACAGGGCTGCACGGGCCGGATCTTAAGACACCCCTGTTCTATGGAATATAACTGTTTTGGTTACACGGTCACAAATATACTCAACTCTTCTAATGCTACTCTGTAAGTTAGAGAGAAATAATTCACCATGTTAGTCTGAAGTCAAGCAGAAGGTAGGGCAGGGCAGCACCTTAGAGACTAACTCCCTGAGGAAGCCATAATTTTTCCTGGGCAACAACCTTCATTCCAATGCTATGAATGCATGTGGACAGAATATACATAACAGGAATACATGCTAATGGGAACTACCATTTCCCACCTGGAGAGGAGAAAACATCCTCAAGGCACAAGGGAACAGAACTTCTTTAATGTAGTGTAGTAGGAGACAGCAGTGATGGTCTATGACAGTGCCAGAAGATTGACTTACATGGCTTATTTTTGCTCGCTGCACTAATAAGCTTCTTCCAGAGTAACTCTTTATGTCATATTTCATCCAGGCACAGCAAGACAGTAGTAACTGTCTGCATGATCAGAGACCTGGGTTCTGAACAAGAGGCAGGGCTGCGCGAAATTTTGCCCGCAGTTTTGTTTCGACTCAATTTGAGTTTGATTTTGCTGTTTCGAGACAAAACGGAGCTTTGAAACAGCCTCGAAACAAAACAAGGCAAGTCAAAATGTTTTGAAAATTTCAAAATGTTTCGAGTTTTGAAGCTCAAGCTGGGCTTGTCTGCAGGAAAACAGAAACTAAAGTAAGGAATTAGCAAGCGTCATAGCTGAACGACTAGCAAGGATATATGAGCGCTCATGGTGCTCGGGACAGGTCCCAGAGGATTGAAAGAGGGCCAGTGTCGTCCCAATCTTTAAGAAGGGGAGGAAGGAAGATCCAGGGAACTATAGACCAATCAGTCTTACCTCTATCCCTGGGAAAATCCTTGAAAAATTATTAAGGAACACATCTGTGGGAGCCTGCTGGCTAATGTGATGCAGAGGGGTAACCAACATGGATTTATAGCAGGCAGGTCCTGCCTGACTAACCTAGTTTCTTTTTACAACAAGGCCACCAAATGTTTAGACGCAGGAGTCAAGGTGGATGTTATCTATCTGGACTTCAAGAAGGCCTTTGACACGGTATCCCATACCATCCTTATAAATAAACTGAGGGATATGCCATAGATGATTGCACGGTCAACTGGGTAGCAAACTGGCTCAGAGGTCGCACTCAGAGGGTGGTAGTGGACGGGTCACTGTCAACCTGGAAAGATGTGGGCAGTGGAGTCCCTCAGGGCTCAGTTCTGGGGCTGGTGCTGTTCAACATCTTCATCAGTGATCTGGATGAGGGGGTGGGAAGTCCTGTTCAAATTTGCGGATGACGCAAAAATATGGGGTGCAGCTAACACCCTGGAGAGGCAGAACCAGATCCAAGCTGACCTAGACAGGCTGGGGAAGTGGGCAGAGAGCAACATGATGCAATTCAATAAGGACAAGTGCAAGGTGCTGCATCTAGGGAGAAAGAACTGCCATCATAGCTATAGGCAGGGGAGGGGGGGCAACCTTCTCAGCACCACTGAGGCAGAAAGAGATCTTGGAGTCATTGTTGACTCCAGGATGAACATGAGTCGTCAATGTGATGAAGCAGTTGGCAGAGCCGATTGCACCTTGTGTATCTGTAGGTGCTTCACAAACAGGTCCACGGAAGTGATTCTCCCTCTCTATGCAGCACTGGTCAGACCGCAGCTGGAGTACTGTCTCCAGTTCTGGATGCTTCAGTTCAAGCGGGATGTGGACAACCTGGAGAGGGTCCAAAGAAGAGCCACTCGTCTGATTGGAGGCCTGCAGGGAAGGCCCTATGAGGAAAGGCTAAGGGACCTTAAACTCTTCAGCCTCTCCAAGACAAGGCTGAGAGGGGACCTTGTGGCAGCGTACAAATTCATAAGGGGACAGCAACATGAAGTAGGCAATGATCTGTTTGCCAGGGCACCCCCTGGAATAACAAGGAACAATGGCCATAAACTACTGGAGAGTAGGTTTAGATGGACATTAGAAAACAGTTCTTCACGATCAGGGTTGCCAGGATCTGGAATGGGCTCCCGAAGGAGGTGGTGCTTGCCCCATCCTTGGGGGTCTTCAAGAGGAGACTGGGCAGGCACCTGGCTGGAATCACACGATCCCAGGTTTGGTGACCCTTTTCTTGCCTGCCAGGGGCAGGGGGTCAGACTAGATGGCCCACTGAGGTCCCCTCCAACCCTGGAATCTATGGGGGGTGGGAAAGGAACGCTCTCATATCAAGTGTGTAGCCGGCCAATAGGGCTGTGCGAGGCTTCAGACAGAGCTTCGAATCCGGAGAAGCTTCGGATGCTTCAGGGTCCGAAGCAGCACATCCAGGTCGAAGCGCTGCCTCGTTAGGCTTCCTGAAGGGCTTCGGAGCCGCCTCAGAGATCTGGCCATAGGATATAATGGGGAAACAATAAAATATCTATAACTTTGTTATTTTTTGTCCAACTTGGATTAAATTTTCAGAGGTGGTAGACTCTGCAGAGGGGATGAAGCCTGCCAAGTTTCAAGAAGATCAGTGCAGGGGTTTGGGGGGGACTGCCCCCCCAAGCTGCAGACAAGCAGAACTCGTGCCATGGGTGCTGTGGGACTGACTGTGTCCATCTTGGGGCACGGAGGGGAGACACGGCTGCAGGCCTGGCTACAAAGCTGGTGTGTGCCCAGTTACCAATCCATCATGATTCACTCAGGGACCAGGGACTCAGGACCAGCTCAATACACAAGACCTACCTACTACATAACGTATTAACAAGCATCAATTAGCATGTAAACAACCAGGCCAAGGAGGGGAAAGACTCAATACAGACAATCAACTGCCCCAGGAC